ATATATATATATATATATATACAAATACATAAATATATATAAAACTGTAACAGGTTGGTCAGCCATTAGCCGTTGGTAAATCAAATAATCAATGCATACAAAAGAGCCTAATGACAGACCAATGACAGACACTGCCTAAGTGAAGAGAGAACAATCTTGAGATGCTTTGAGGGAAGAGGAGAAAGTCAGTATGATTTTTAAATAATAACTATGTATTTAGAAATTGCAAATGAACAGAATCATAATCGGACCACAATGTCAATAACTCTTACTACCAAAAGTGCATCATTTTTTCTGCAGAAAAAGATGCCATAAAATAAATACTTCATGGATTTAATAAGCTATAATCTGTTACATTGTCCATCCTTATGCTGCAAGACAAATCTGAGCACTTCTACTAACACATGCCATCTATTTTTTTGTAGAGGCAAACATTTTTCCAAGGGTAGTCTATGAAGGACCAGTACCTCTGGAAATTGTAACATAAATAGACAGTAGATTCTATTCATCTACAAACAGGTTTATTGTCTTGTCTTAAGCACGACTGAAAAAGCAAGTGTCTTAAGCCGAGTTGTTCTAAAGGGGTGCAACGCTGAATGCTTTGTTGCCTGAGCTGGCACACTGACTGTATGCAACTTGCAGAGTACAAGGGAGATGGCTATGTTACTGTGTCAGAGTACTGTATGTGTCTAAGCTTACTTGCTTGCTACTATTCTGGCTGACTGCTGGCGGTTAAATCAAAGGAGGCTGAAGAGAGGTGGGAGAAAGGAGGAAATGAAACAATGATGTCAGCGATAAGGCATAATAATACCACAGGGGATCAGTGAGGAGCAACTTATTGGAATAAACTCCGCCTGCTTGGTGCCAGAAGGGAGACAATCTATTTTTCTAAGGCCAATGCCGAACGTGAAGAGATGTTGAACCCTCCCTCAGCGCAGAAGAAAGGAACAGGGGAATGGAGGTAAGTAAGAGCAGCCTCTGAAGGAAAGACCTTGACAGAGTTGCAAATGCAGGCAGCTATGCAGCCAAAGCCAGGGGCTGATGGGCTGCAAAGGAGATTTCAGGGACTTGTCTAAGCTTCTGGGGAGGTGGTGCACTGGAAGGCCCATGCATGGAGCCCTGCTGCGGGTTTAGCCCTCTCTCCCAGGTTGCTGTATGGCCAGTCATTCTTCTCCAAAGGGACAGTTTCAGCTGTCCATCACAGGCTTCCCAGGGGAAGGGGCTGGCAAGCAATGGGTTCAAAGAGAGCAAGCCTGTTTACATGGAGGCAGGGTGTGATGGGAAAGACAAAACGTGGCTGCCAGTCCCAGCAGCGCAGGAGCTGCAGTTCCTACCAGTCAGAGAGGGGGTGAACATGGCGGTCCTTACGTGCTGAGCTTGTGCCCTGCGGGGAGCTGGTGAAAGCAGCATGGGGAGGTACACTGCTCTCCCAGCTGCCTTAGGCACCTGGAAATATGTGTGGTTTTGGGGTTTTTTTTTGTTTGTTTTTTTGTTTTTTTCTCCAGACACCCATTATTAGACCATCATGATACCACCTTTGCCTAAAACCTCATTTCACCTATATTCTTAGACAGCCACAGCTGCAGCAGCACTGCAGTACCTGTAACCACAGGGCAAGTGCCCACGGGAGAGGCGGGGGGGGGGAGACCGAGCACAGGTGCACCACACGCCAGAGCCATCTTCCACCAAAACTGCCCACACGGCTGTGACTGAAATTTAATTTGCCTGGTGCGTTCAGTGGACATTTTAATCAGCATTTCCTACAATTTGCTTGGCAAACGGGCTCAACTGGCAGCTGCCTCACTGAATGGGCTTTGCACCCAGTCTAACCTTTTCAATTCGCAATTTCCAGTGCTGGAAAACCTCTCTGTCTCACTCTCAGGAGTTTCTATAGCAATCACTGCCATCCTATCTAAGCACTGAAAATGGTAACCCATTCAGATTGTAATTTTGCTGGACAGTAATTGTTCCTCTCTCCATTGCCTTCCGAAATTTTACTTTTTATGAGATCACTACAACTGGAGGAGACTAGTCTTCTGCCTGTGTTTTCAACAGACCTGGTTTTCTTCCCCCCCCCTCCCCCAAATAACTTAGTTGCTTAGTTGCTTGCAGAGTGCTTGAATCTTGACTCTAACACGGAAATATTCTGGGGTACTTTATATATCAATCAGCTATAAGGAAGACCTGATGTGAACAATGTTCTTAACAAGTCTGCAGGAGAAAAACCCAACCAACCAGCATTCCATTTTATGACCTGAAAATTATCCATTGCTGTAAGTAGAATAAACCAGTTATGCAAGTATTTTTGGCTCTACTAATTGTAAAAGAGCAGAAGATACAAAGAAAGCTTTTATTTCATGTCAGCTTACTTTTCTTGGTTCAGTTAACTTCAGCTTAAACAATCACTTGATCTTTTGTTATGTGCTTCATCTTTCAGTGGCTGTGATCTCTATTAATCTAAAATTATATTAAGTCTGGAACTGAAGTTTTTGCTTTTTTTTTTTTTTTTGCAGTAGGAGGATGTGGTAGAATTATATTACAGCTTTTGAAGGAATTGATCAACCAGTTCTTTTAAACTCTTCTAATAATCTTTTCCTATACTTGTATGGCTATTGTTGCCTGCTGGAAAAATTAGCTTA